TCAGGCAAGAGCATAGGTGACCATTAATCAGTGGGCCCTAAACTGGGTCAGGACAACTACACAACTATCAGTGTATAGTCTTACGCCATGCTTATAGAATTAAGGGATGGTCGGTTTGATCCTTAAGAAGTGACCAGTGATCTTACTGTGCTTGTGTACAAAAAGTCGAACAAGGACGACCTTCCAGATCATGCAACGGTATCTTGTGGCTACATAGCCCGAAAGGTGTTCTGAAAGTGACCTAGCATCGATATCAGGTCAACCAAGGTCATCATAAGCCATTGACTGCGTTTGGCATTGAAATGGTCACTGGCCAACTAAAACGATTCGTGAGATCACCATTCTATGCCGATTTTGGATGCCAAATGTTTTGAAGTTCCCGTGAAAAGGAGCTTATGAGCGGCATTTGTCATATAAATGCGCATTTCAGCAGCCTGAAATGATCATGGACATTCAGCTCGCACGCCTAGGTAATCAAACGGACGGATCATGTGTTTTCACGTAGCAAATAACTAAGCAACCATGAATGACTTGCATGGTCTGCTAGCATCAAAACTAAATTTGTAGGAAACAGCAACTTCATCCCAGACGACTGGTGCAGTGCTCCGAAAGTCCGATCAATTAACGCTAGCCTCTGCAACGAACACGACCTCCGAGGTCACCGCCACGCTCACCTTGAACCCGGTCTGCCCGAAGGTGCCCGGCCTGCCAGGTTCTCCCCTCTGGCCAGGCAGGCCCGGCTGGCCCTCGACGCCGTCTCCGAGCGCGCCCTTCGGGCCCGGGTCACCGACGGGCCCGGTGAAGCCCGGCCGGCCGGGCAGGCCATCCAAGCCCGGCGCGCCCGCGTCGCCGGGAGCGCCGCGCGGCGAGTCGTCGCCCGGCGGGCCGCGCAGCCCGGTCGGGCCGAGGTCGCCGTCGCGGCCTGGCTCGCCGGCAGGCCGTCTAGGCCAGGCGCACCCTGCAGGCCCTCGTCGCCCTGGTCACCCGGAGGTCCCGGGAAGCCGGGGCGGCCCGAGAAGCCCTTCGGGCCGGCCGGGCCTGCCGGCAGCGGCGCAGCGCGTGAGGGAGCGGTCTGGCGCAGCCAGTGACGGCCAGGAGCGAAATCAGGAAAGTATTAAGGGCGGCACTCACTGCCGCGTCTCGGGGACGCAAATACAGGATTACTCTGAGGAAATCAACAGGAGTCTGGCGATAGTGTCCAGCTAGATTTATAACAGGTTCACTCCGTGTCTAAGCAGAGACAACGGTTTCAAAGGACGACATGGTGTACTTTCACAATCGCTTGTTACAGATGCATGGTGATCGCCACGCCTTTGACCATTGCCGCCATCCATGTGGCGGTGTATAGACAGGACGTCTCAAATCACCCGATGTTCAGCGCAAAAGCGGCGTTCGTCACTCAAACAGCACACCACCGGCGGTGGCTGGCTCGGCGCCGGGGGCCGTTGAGTCACGCTCACCTGGCTGCAGAATGTCGTCGCCTCTGTCCCCCTTGGGCCCCTCCTGGCCGGGCCGGCCGGGCCCGCCCTGCCGGCCGGGCAAGTCCGAACCGTCCCGGGTCTCCGTCGAGACCCGCGCAGGCCGGGCAGGCCGTCCTCGCCGGGCAGGCCGGGCAGGCCCACTCCGCCGGGCAGGCCGTCCGCGCCCTTCAGGCCGGGGAAGCCGAAGAGGCCGGGCAGACCCCGCTGGCCCGTGAAGCCTGGCAGACCGGGCCGGCCGGGGATGGAGTCACCCGGCGGCCCTCGCGCCCCCTGTCGACGAGAGGGGGGAGTCACCGGCGGGCCACGCGCCCCCTGTCGACGGGAGGGGGAGTCACCCGGCGGCCCTCGCGCCCCCTGTCGACGGGAGGGGAGAGTCACCCGGCGGCCCCCGCGCCCCTGCTGACGGGAGGGGGAGTCGCCCGGCGGCCCGCCCCTGCCGACGGGCGGGCCGACCATATGCAGAAAGGCTGGATCACGTGATCATCAAAATTATAAGCAACATATGGGTACAAAACAGGAATGTATTGCAATGCATTTGTGCTGTACACTTATCCAAGGAACGGCGTCTCCAGATTTTGTTTCCCTCGGACCTCTACATGATTATGATCAAAACTTACCAAGCGTGCGTCGCAGGATGCGTACTTGCGTCTATAGAGCACCCGAACGAGATTTTGAAAAGGCCCAACGCATGCTTGTCTGTTTCATCTATTTCAGTCCCGTTATTTACGCCGTGGTAGTTACCCCATCTCTCCACAGCAATCATCCCACTGCTGTCCGCACCACAGTCGCCTCCGGCCACAATAGCGTACCCGGCGGCCGGGTCGTCCGGAGAAGCCTGGCGCTCCCTTCTCTCCGAAGACGCCAGGCGGGCCACGCGGCCCCACCGGTCCCGGCGGCCCGTCCAGGCCGTCCAAGCCCGGCCCGCCCGGCTCTCCGGGCGCTCCATTGAAACCGGGTGAGCCCGGCAGGATCGGTCGGCCGTCTTCGCCCTGCTCGCCCTTGCGACCCGGCAGGCCCTGGTCGACGGAGGGGGATCAGTCGACGCTGGTCGGCGCCGGGTGAGTCACGGGGTCAAGCGAGGGTCACAGACAGCGAGAGGGCGCTGCAGACGATGTCAGGGTGAACGAGAGCCAGCTGAAGAAAGTGAAGGACATGTCGGTTCACCAGTTCCGGCCGCACTGCGGGAGGCCCTCTCAGAAATGTCCACCTATGCGTTCGCCTGACGCTTTCCTGACCGTTTCCCTGCTCTGGAAGGTAGCAAATGTTGGCGCCTCCAACGCTGGGTATGAATGACGCAGCCTCCATTTAGCCTAACAAGTCTGCGCGTGATGCATATAAGGGCTGTTGCAATGATCAGCATCAGAGGGAGTTGAACACGGCATGCACATCACGCACAGACGTATCAGGGGCAGTGTTTGCGCTGACTGAGCCGTCACCGGCCGGCCGTGTCGCGCGCGACTCACGTCGAGGCCCTGGCGGCCGGGCGCGCCGGGGCGGCCCGGGGCGCCGGTCGGACCCGCGTCGCCACTGAGGCCCGGGTAGCCCTTGAGGCCGTCCGCGCCGCGCAGGGATCGGCCAGGGAAGCCGGGCAGGCCGCGCAGGCCGGGCACGCCTGGGTCGCCGGCGAACCCTGGCTGACCCTTCAGCCCCGGCAAACCTGACGGCGACCGGTGCAGACCGTGATGGGGGCGGGGGTGAAGGGGTGCGCGAGGCGATGTCTGGAAACGCTTGGGGTTGCTGGTGCGGCTAAAAGCTCAGTGGAAAGCGCACTGTGCGGGAAGCTGCGTAACTGGTAAGGGTGGTAGGCATTACAAATATCAGACAACAAAAACGAACAAGGAATAACATTTTTAGTGACTGAAAGTTAGCATAAAAATGTCATGCAAAAAGGCCCAGTTTGATAACCAACTAACGTTTTGTATGAAACCTTGTGTTGCATTTGATCCTTATGGACAAAATTGAACCATTGCGGATAACGATGCACAACATACGGATGTCCTCAATAGGCACAACTTCCGGCCCAAAGGTGTGCCAATTTGTGTTGACAAACGAGCATCTCTCAAAGATTCAATCCCCCAACATGTCCAACAACCCCAGCTTCTGACACACATGCGTTTCTCCGACGGCGGCCGCCGACCAGCGCTCTGCCGGTCCCCAGCGTCACCCACCAGGCCGGCCGACGTCGCCGTCCTCGCCCGTTTCGCCGATGCGCACTGGCAGGTTGGAGTCGCCGGGCTCGCCGACTAGGCCCTCGTCGCCCTCCTCTCCGATCTGACCGCTGAAACCCAACGGAGCCGTCTGCAGGCGCGTTCGAGCTGGATGCGGGACCGGCAGGTCCTTGGAACCATCGGCCAGCAGGGACATTGCACGCGATGCTCACTTACGTTCAGTAGTGGCGCACTAAATCGTTGTTTAATGAATGCTAGATTGCTGATTTGTAAGTTTACACGACTATGGACGTAATCCTACTTCATTCTGGTATCGATTTTAGTCCTTGAAAAATTGAGCAGCCGAGAATAGGACTCGTAACGCCTCATTCGCAATTTAAGAAATGATCGCTACTCGTGTGGGCTGAAAAGCGTATGCAGGTTAGCGAAGTAGCTAACTGGCTTCCGTGGCCGCGGAATTCCATTAGTTCTTTTTACGTTAGCGTCTTTAAGTAGGTATCTAAACTGGCAGCACATCTTATATTGTGAGTTCGGAGCTCTTATCCTGAGGAATCAACCTTCAATATATTGCAACAGTTATATTACATGATTATATATAGTGTTACTATTAGTATTACTATTAGTATAATATTACTATAAGTATTATTATTGGTATCGTATGTTAGTGTTATATATATATATATATATATATATATATATATATATATATATTATAGCAGTTATAATGTAAATATTGGATATATTAGCAGAGCTAGACGTTTAAAGCTGGGCGCATGCTTACGAGTAAGTCGTGACTTCTACGAAATCTGATATGCACAGCTATGATAAACGGGAGCGAAGTCCATCGTTTGTTGTCAGGTTTATCAAAACATCCGGTGTATATTGTTTGTGAGGCATTTTGTTTCTTCGTTACTTCCGCCCATTCGTCATCGTGGGTCAGGCATTTAGCTCCGTGAACGAAATCGTTGTGTGACAGAAAAGTGAAATGACGAATAAGTAAGTGATATTTTGACAGACTTCATCGAATGTCGTGTGTTTCGCTCCTGCTTATCCCAGTTTTCATGCCTGAAAACTTCGTACCAAATCCGATTTTTGTCTGATAACGCCAGCGTGAAAAGAGCGACTGAGAAGCAAGAAGCGCCTAGCTCCAGGTAACGTAATTGTAAATTTCCTCCACATTCTCGCCACATTGCCCCTGGCCTACAGAGCGTCAGCATAGCGTCGTTGGCCCACTCACCGGAAACCCTCTAAGCCCTTGTCTCCGACTAGCTGCGGCAGGAGGCTGCGGTCGGCGTCCAGGCCGGGCCGGCCCGCCAAGCCGTCCACACCATCCGGACCAGGCGGCCCTTGGTCACCGTACTCGCCCTGGGGACACAGTGCGGTCAGGGACGGAGTCCAGGTCCGGAGGCCCTTGGCCACCGTACTCGCCCTGGGGGGGCACAGTGTGGTCAGGACGGGGTCCAGAGCTGGGGCTTACTGGTTACCGTAGTTACCCCGAGGGCACAGCGGCCACGGTCGGCCTCTGACCACTCCGCGTTCCATACAAGGACTGTGCGCCACGGTCTCCCTCAGGTTTCGGCTCTGAAGAAAAAGCCGTGAGGGAGACAGGAGTGAGAGGGAGTGACAGAAAGGGATAGGTTGAGAGCAGAGAGAGAGAGAGAGAGAGATAGGGAGGGGGGAGGAGAGAGGAGAGAGGAGAGAGGGAGGAGAGGGGGAGAGAGAGAGAGAGGAGAGAGACGCGAGAGAGAGAGAGAGGAGAGAGAGAGAGAGAGAGGAGAGAGAGAGAGAGAGAGAGGAGAGAGAGAGAGAGAGAGAGAGAGAGAGAGAGAGAGAGCGAGAGAGAGGAGAGAAGAGAGAGAGAGAGAGAGAGAGAGAGAGAGAGAATGATATATATATATATATATATATATATATATATATATATATATATATATATATATATATGCACGTAAATGTTAAAGATTGCAGCATCTTCGTTCAGCAATACCTTCTTCTTCAAACTAACGATCTCAGGAACACACTTTATATGTGAGCATTATGCTTACGTGCTTGTCCGACGTACGTACGCATACGGTGGGATACTTCGGTAATTGCCTGCCGGTGTCCCATGTGGGACGAAGGGTTGCAAAAATCTGCACATTTAGGACATCTCACTGAGGCACATAAGAGAAAGTGTCTTGGTATGAATATATATATATATATATATATATATATATATATATATATATATATATACATATGTATTTATATACATATATATATATATATAAATATTTTTGATAAAATATCTGGGCCATTTTCCACATATCTAAGACGGCAAAAGGACTGAACGCATTTCTGCTCACTAGCAGCATTCATACTTACCATGCTGCTTCACCGAACACGTAAGATGGAAAGAGGATACAGCAGATGCGGATTAGCAAGCGAGGACAGCGATGCTACCTAGTTGTCATACAATGAGGGCCGTTCTGTGTAGCTTTGTCCATATTGATGAAACACATGAGCCAGGTAAGCAGCAAATCGCTGATTTGAACCGGTCACTTACTTTTAAATCTGAAGCCAAACAATCAAACGTAACTGCAGCTTTTATGAGAAACCAACAAGCTATTCTAAGCTTTTACCAAACTATGCTGAACTTATCTTGACAAGAACAGTGCAACGACGCAACCCGAACATGTCGGAATTGATTTCAATCGTCCAAATCCTTGCAAAGAACCAGAATCACTCAGGAGCACTTCTACTCCCTCCGGACGAAGCGCCAAAGAAATCTGCCTTCTACAGGTCCCCCTGCACAGGTCTACAGGTCTTCTACAGGTACCTTCTACAGGTCTACAGGTCTACGCATGAACAGACACCGTTGTGTTCGCTGTTTTGAGGCGTGCAGCGAGAGAGTCCGGCCATACCTGCTGCCCTTTGAGTCCGTCGATGCCGGGCAGGCCGGGCAGGCCGTCCGGTCCGGGCCTGCCCTCCGGTCCCGGCCCGCCGTCCGGACCGGGTCTGCCCGCCTCGCCCTTCTCGCCCTGGATGTTCCCGCCCGGGGGGAAGAAAAGCTCTCCGCGAGCTCCGCGCGGGCCGGGTCGGCCGGCCAGACCTGCCGGCCATCGCGGGCTCGTCACCGCTCTGCTGTCCCGTCAGGAAGTGGCGCTTCGTTGATCGCTGCTTGGGAAACTCATATGAATTCCAAGGGTCAGTAGCAGTGTGAAAAGGTAGCAGTGCGTATGGCCCATATGGCTGGTTTCATGCGGAGGATGCTGTTTTCTCATCAGAGGTGCAACAGCCGTTTGCTGCTACGGCCGTTTGCATGGATAGCACAATGAGTGCCCGAGACAAAAATGTCGGAATTACGGTAAAATCTACTGTGACATTAAAAAGGGAAAGTAAAAAGAGGGTCGGGAAGAAAACAAATCACCTAATCAAAATTCCATACCTATTTCCTTCAGTAACACGTAAATGCGAAAAATGTAGGCATCTGCTAGCTTCAATTCGCTGTGTCTTCCATGTCGCACAGGATCTCGATTGTACCAACCATAACGGCTTGTATGTAAGCTACACCATTTTGGCCCACACGAGCTGGAAGCTAACGCACCGCAGAGCGCTGACAAGCACCGTCACCCAACACGCTGCAACGTCTCGGCCCATGGCCGCCAGGTGGCACCCACCTGCCGAGCCGGGCAGGCCGTCCAGGCCGGGGAATCCCTGCACTCCAGGCAGGCCCGGCCGACCAGGGGCGCCGCGTCGTCCGGCCGGCCCCACTGGGCCCTGCACGCCCACCAGGCCGGGCCGGCCCGTGTCGCCGGCTTCTCCCTTCTGGCACGGTGAGACTGCGGGCCGGGCGGAGTCGTAGCCGTGGGTGTCAGGATTTAGAGGTGGACGCCTCCAACAGCTCGGTCGGACAGGGGATGTCACCTCAAAGTACGCTTTACACTCAGCACTGGGCCTGAACTAGTTTCGCGAGAGTTCATTCCAGTGGCTCCATGCCAAGGGAGCCTATCAAAGTTAGAGACTAACGAGACGAACGGTTTTGAACATCTAATACCCTTTTTTGAATGGAATGTCGGAATCAGCGTTGAACTGTCGGCGGTTAACCGGGGTCACCACACAGCTCAGCGAGGTCAGACGGGGTCACCGGAGAGCTCAGCCGAGGTCAGCTGACACGGAGCAACAGAGGCACTCACAAGTTTGCGGCAGGCAGTCATCGCCACTGGCGCCCTTGACGCCCGGCACTCCTGGGATGCCCTCCGGGCCGGTTGATCCCGGCCGGCCGGGAACTCCCGGCCGTCCCGGTTCGCCCGGGGGACCCGTTTTGAGCACGCCGATGCCGGGCTGACCCTTTCCGGCCTGCCGCAGGGAGAGCGCCGTCAGTACGGAGCCGCGCGGAAGCGACAGTCTGAGAGGCGCTGTCAGTGATTGCAGACATAGATGCAATAGCCAAACAAAACGTATAAGTTAACATGGAAATATAGCTGGTACGCAAAGCTATGTTTTACATGGCATTCCAAGCACAATTTTATGACGTCGCGTTTGTCCGTTATGTAGAATTACCAAACCCAGACCTGCAGAGCGGCTGGCACCAGCATGACGTCATATCAGAAACACTGAGACCAATACATCCCGTAAGTGGGCTCCGCTGGGCCCGCGGCAGCCTGCCTGGGGCGCCGGCAGCATCGGCGGCCCGCTCACCTGCGAAGCCGGGGTCTCCACGCTCGCCGGGCATGCCGTCGAGCGCCGGCCGACCGGGGATGCCGTCCTGGCCGGGCGGCCCGGTCACGCTCAGGCCCGGCGAGCCCGGCAGGCCCGGGAAGCCGGGCTGGCCGATCGGGCCCGTCGGGCCGAACGGGCCCGGCGGACCGGACAGACCGTCGTCGCCCTGGTCGCCGTTGATGACGATGCCCGGTCGGCCGCGTGGTCCCGTCGGCCCGTCCGGGCCCGGCCGGCCGGGGTACCCGGGGAAGCCGAGCGCGCCCTCGCGGCCTGGCAGGCCGCTCTCGCCCTTGGGCCCCACCGGGCCGGGGTCGCCCTGCACACCACGCGAGCCCTTCATCGCCTCAGCGATCACCGGGTCGTAGAAGCCCTTGGGGCCGACGTCGCCCTGCGGTCCGGGCTGGCCTCCGAAGCCGGGCTCGCCACGCGCGCCCAGCCGCCCCGGCGTGCCGTCCAGGCCGGTGTAGCCAGGCGCGCCCTTGGCACCCTTGTTGCCGTAGCCGCCTGGTGGGCCAGGTCGCCCCTGCTTGCCGTGGCGGCCCTCGTCACCACGCAGGCCGCGCACGCCCTTGTTGCCGGGCGGGCCGGGCGCACCGGATTTGCCGTCCTCACCGCGCCGGCCGGCCGGACCCTTATCGCCCTGCGAGCCCTTCGGGCCCACGTAGCCCTTGGGTCCGCTGCGGGGGCGCGTGGTACGGACGTGTCAGCGAAGGTGAAGGCGCGGGCAGGGGGAAGCAGGAAGGTACCGTACCCTGTTCGTATGTTAAGACGCACTTGGAACGCTTGTACAGGAAGTCCGCATCACAAATGCGAGCAGCATTTGCTGTTTAAAAATTTCATGCAAGAGTTCAACGAAAGGTCAAGTACAATTCACCCTCTCGAGGGCCCTCCAGATATTATTTTAGGCAGCATTATTTTTTGGACTTCTGGACATTTTAAGTTCATAAAGGGATCTGCGCAGAACAGCAGAAACACCTCCGCAGGAGCCGATTGCCAATCATTTCAACAGATTTTGACAACGAAGAACTTCGCGAACCCTGGCGGGGAACTCACGCGAAGTCTCGCTCCTCCTCTGCTGAGGTGAAGCCGCCGTCCGGAGATCCGGGCCCAGTGGGACCCTGGTCTCCCTGCTCGCCCTTCGGGCCCGGCGGGCCCACCTTTTGGATGCCTTGCTCTCCCTTTGGGCCAGGAAGACCCGGCAGTCCCTCTGGGCCCTGCACGAAACACAGAGATGCTAGAACTTTGAAAAATTGACAGACCTACTTCAAACGCGCTCAGCAAAACTTCGAGCACGACCGGCGCATTAATAAAGCATTCAGATGTAGATGACATCACCGCAGATGTACACATAATTGCAGTTAGTATTCTCCCTTGCTTCCGGATCCTATCACGAGTATTTGCTAACACATCCGAGCACAATCAATGCAAGAATGGGGATAGTTTGTAACAGTTCGGGGTGACAAATGACAAGAAGCTACAGACGCGTGATAGAGCCAGCCAAACGGATATTGCGCTCTTTCCAAAGCCGCATCGAGCGTCTCAGCGTGTTACATTCTTCAAGTATATATTTGATCTTGTTTACCATTATCTACAACTGTCCGTTTCTTCAGATGCGTTGTCGGACTTAATCTGCCGACTACGTCACTCACGCGTTCTCCGCTATCACCAGGGTATCCTCTGTATCCTTTGGGTCCTTCTAGACCTGGAAGTCCCTGAAAGGCACAATGTGTAAAAATCCAGCGCGTTGTCATGGCTCCACATGTCCTGCAACTAATTTGCGTTAATGTACAAGCCCACGTGACCCCTAAACCACCTTAACAAAAAATATAGTAACTAATTCGAAAGCGATGCTTCTGCGAAGAAGATACCACTTAGTTTTGTCGTTACGTTAAAGCGATGCACACCCGCAGGCGCTTAACATTAACACGGTTAAGACTGAAATAATCTTAACACGGTTAAGACTGAAATTTGGCCCGGTCACCCGTCCAAACCATTTTCAGCTACCGGCAGCTTGACAAAATGGCCTGTGGTCACACAGCAGCCCCACAGACAGCCTGACCGTGATTTCGCACCACCGACTCCAGCCAGGGCGACTCAGCCGTCTCAGGAGAACAACAGGACTTCAAACGATGGCAAACAAAACTCGTCCAGCAGCCTGTCTATGATGCCGTGATCCGACTGTGGCTTGTGAGATGCTCACATCGATGCCGGGCCGTCCGCTGTCGCCAACCGCGCCCTTGATGCCGATCGAGTTGACGCCGCCGTCGCCGGGGTCACCCCGCGGGCCACGCAGTCCAGCAGCGCCTGGGGCAAGGTGCACGAGGTCACTGACACTCGGAGGCGCGGCAACGGCCGGGCCGCCTACAGCCGCATACACGTCTGTGTGCAGGGTCAAACATGGCTTGGCATGCTCCGAGGTATTAGTTAAGAACAGCTTCTTTTTAAAGGACTGTGTTTTTGGTTCTCCGCTCAAAATTCGGCACTACGCATCGATCCATTGGCACTGAACACCTATGTTAATCTGCTGGCATGCACTTTCAGAATCAGAGGGAACTGGCTTAATACTTGAACACTGACCTAACACTTATGCTTCATGCCGGCTTAATGCTTAATGCTTAATGTTGACATGACATCTATTACTTTCTTATAATACATAGCTACGCAGTGACCATATGGTCGGCAAAAAGCAGATCATACAACATGGAACGCATCAGCTGCGGAGATCCCACGGCAAAGCCGCACAGTTTCAGAAAGCTGTGGAACTTATCCAACTTTCCCTGTTCATCTTCCTTACTCCACATAGAACTATCAGCACGGACTTAACTCCGATGTGCAGCTTTGGGTGCCTGACTGAAATAACGGGCCCATCCGAGGGTACACGTGACGTCTGTTGCTATCGCATGGGCGTCTGTGGCCGGTTCCGACGGCCGGCTGTGGGTGACTGACCTGGCTGGCCCCGCGGCCCGCTGAGGCCCGGCAGGCCGGGCAGGCCCCTCTCGCCGTCCGTGCCGTTGCAGCCGGGGAAGCCCCCGGCTCCACGGTTACCGATGTCACCGGGCAGACCCTGCGACACACGGCGGCGGCTGCTCACAGCGCGACACCACCGGCGCGTGGTTTATCGCTGACCGAAGTAGGTCAATATAATCAAAGCGCCGTTGTTACGTGGTCTGATTAATGACATTTAACAATGCCTTATGCGACAGTTGCGGAGAGAACCAAGGTTAGCAAAATGCCACGGCGACAACATATGTACATCTGCGTAGTGGCACTACTAGTGTGGGCCATCTGCCTTTCTTAGCTGCAGAGCGACTGCTTCCAGCGCGCCGTCGGGAGGGCGGCGGGACGGCGTCCGGTCTCACCAGAATGCCGGGCGCTCCAGTGAAGCCGTGCACTCCCGGGCCACCGCGGTCTCCTTTCGCGCCCTGGGCGCCCTCCTCGCCGCGCGAGCCCTTCATGCCGAGCGGGCCGATCGGGCCCTCAGGCCCCATGTCGCCCGGGAAGCCCTGCGAGCCCTGCAGGCCCGGGATGCCAGGGTTGCCCACGTAGCCCTTCTCGCCCTCGCAGATGCAGTTCTGGACCACGCAGCCTTTGCATGCCTGAAAAGGGAGGCGTGTGCCGGTCAGTCGGATTCAACAGAGCATCGTTCGTGGGTCGCTGCTGGATCGCAACTCGAGCGAGTGATGCAGTTCATAAGAGTGGTATAAGCTGGTACGTATGGTGAGACTGCTTTCACTGATCTCCCAAAACGAAAAACGAAGGAGGGCTAACCAAATTTCCACCTTATTTTGTATCTTAATGAGAATTGCATTATCTAGGCAAGCCCTAAACAGTTCCGAACCGTGAGCAGGATTCCTCGTGGTCCTGACGAATCTAAAAAGTCATGGTGTACTTCATTTCGAAACTAAGCTTGGTTCTCGGAGCTTCTTCTAAAACTCTCGGAGTCATTCCGCCCGTCGTCCCCGTGTGCCACGTAGCGGCCACTCGGCGGGTACCCGCCCGTCTTGGCCACCGCGTGCCACGTAGCGGCCACTCGGCGGGTACCCGCCCGTCTAGGCCACCGCGTGCCACGTAACGGCCACCCGGCGGATACCCGCCCGTCTCCTCCACCGCATCGCGCTGCTTGTCTGCAGACTCTCCATGACGTCATGCCGCTGTGGCGCTGCGCCGAGCACGCGCCCAGATAGCCGACAGACGGGCGCCACAGGCGCCGCCGGGGTCGCGCCGGTCGCGCAGCATAAACATGACATTCCTCCCTGGACAGTCGCGTTCCGCGCTGCCGGGGCGCAGCGCCGCCGTGGCGGATGTGACGCGGTGTGCGGCGCAGCGCGACGAATGTGGCGCGGCGGAGGGTGTCGCGCGGTGACTGCGGCATTCCTGTGGGCGGCGCTTGCGGCGCACGGCTTGATCCCCGACGGTAGCATGTTTGGGGAGCGACGAGAAGTCAGCCTATGGCAATCCCGACGGGCGCAGTTTGCTCGTAATGGGAGTCGGTTCATACTGGAGCAACTGTCCGGGGTCTTGGTTAGAGATTAAACGGCTAAAAGACGTGTCAGCCAGAGGGCGGTCAAACTTATCGCTGGCGACCTTGTGCAGGCGCCGTCAACAGGCCACTCTGTCATCCATTCACTCGGGATGGCAGGCCCCGCTGTGCAGGCCAGCGCAGTGTTTGTGCCCCACATGCGTTTGACGGTGACCTGGGTCTAAAAGACGAAGGCTCTTGTCGTTAAGTCAGTCAGTAGAGCGTGGAAAACACGCCGTCTTTATGTAAACACAGCTCTAGGCGAGTGCACAGTAAGTGTCTGTCCGTGTCTAAAAGAAGACCATCAACACAGATAATATGCGTTTTTGAACTAGAGGGGAAAGTCAGCTCAAGACTAATATAACCTCGTTATTGTGGGCCCCATGTCACCTCACGTTTAAAAAGTTAGCAGCAGTTAATGGGCATGTGTGAAGAATGTAGAAGTGGGAGCAGAGCACACTGTCTCCAATGTTCTTAGACATAAAACAATTGGAGGCGATCCCGAAGCTATTTCAAATATTACTTACAAAACCTTACAACTGAAAAACTGGCTGCTCGCCGCAGACAGCACGAGTACTGAAGTGCACCATTCCCAGTAAACGTCTGGGAAAGGCTGGATGTCTGCCCCACCACCTCCTCTCCTGTCCGACCGCAAACCGCACCAGCTGTTGAATCATGTTACGTCACCCCTGCCGAGTGGATGCGGCCGACTCATTTTTTTAGTAGGCCGACTGTGCCGCATTACCACCGTGTGCTGCGGCACAGTCTAAAGAACGTCGTAGCGAACCTGGCTGCCAATGAGCGGTCCAACAGTGTTGACACCGATGACAGTGAACGGGAGAGTCGCGAACTTATAGAATATCAAAGCAACCCCGCTAAGTACGGGCGGCACTTTGCATACTATCGGAGGCCTGGGCACCCCAATGCGGATGTGAACCCCCAGAATTAATATGCTATTGGTATATTAGGTAGTAAGTCCCCAGATATGTCACCATTAGCATCATGTTACTTTTGAACCAAATCGTATCTTGAAGGCACCTGATACTTTTGTCATGCTAATTCGTCCATATTCTAAGCCAGTCTGCAAATGTTTGACAAGTTTTTCAAATGATACCGTCTGTATTGGGATAAAGAACAACTCACTGTAATCTGCAGCTTTTAAAAGCATAGGGTGGTCCAGATTAAAGTTAACGCATGTTTTCCCCAACAGTGGCAAGTAAGGACCTAAAGACGTAAAGACATGGAGGCGTAAAGACACCAGGCCAACAAAGAGCCACAAGAGCTCGTCGAGGCTGGCATACCTCAGGTTCCGCGCACATCCCCAAAACTAATCTTGCCACCTGCCCTGCCTGAATTCAGCTATAAATAAGATCCCTCAACCAATATAAATATCGTAAGTGTGTGTACATTGTATTAATCGTTCGCACAATCGTGGCTGTGGTGCTTATGCAACATGGTCAGAGACAGCGATAGTCATCAGTGATCCCTTACTAAGATTTATTTACATGTTTTTTATGTTAATTACGCCCGATTATAAGCTTTTCATATAATGGCAGCTAACAAACCTAAAATGGAAAGTCACATCTCGACAGTAAAATACTTCTGAATTTACAAAATACAAAAAGCCCCCTTAATTTTAACACTGAAGACGTAAATTTAAGTGGCCGAAATCCGGAGAAAATCGGATTCTGGGGAAAGGTTAGGTCAACCTTTTGGCTGACATATCACCCTTAAAAAAGAGATCTTAAAATCTGACACCCCTGCTGCTAAGATCAAACAGTAACCCAGGCTTTAGGTAAAGCTGTCATTTTGTGGCGATTATGCACTCTGGTGTCGGTTCCAAAATAATAGACGAATGAGCTCAGAGTTCTGTTGAGGGTCTGACCACCAAGAAAGAGTCCTATATATCCCATCATGTATCGACGCAAATGTCTTAATTGTATGGACAAATTCGACTTAGATTTGTTACGGCACGAGCACAAATTTGGACATTGTCGCTTTCTTTCAACCCATCCAACTAACAATGCTGGGGACGTTCTTGTAAAATAGGCAAACAATTGAAACCTAACTGAAAGAAAACATCACGTGCTACACAGCTTCCAGTAAATCCTCCCCTCCTGCTGACGAACAGCGTGATGCATTGGAATGTTCACTGATTTTTGTATTGCAAGCTGAAGCCTTGCCTTGTCCTCGTGGCAAACATCTCTACCAGCCTTCAGCAGACGCGGACCATAGCTAACGCATTACAGGCCGTCTGAAGTCACGTCCGGATCAAATCCTACTCCGATTCCCTAATTAGCAACAGGAGCACCAGGCTGATCTCTGTTCGATGAAGCGAGCACTCTGACCAAAGGTGTTGATATATCAGTGTCCCTGAGATCACTGCTATCCACGGCGGTGTGTCAGATTACTGCCCTTCGCGCCGGTGTGTCAGGTCCCTACGATCCGCAGCGATGTCTCAAGTCACGGCCATCCGCTGCGGCTGCCAGGTCAGCCGAGCGCCCGATGCTCGAGTGTCAGATCACGTCGATCCTCAATCGCGGAAGCGGCTCCGCAGCGTCAGCGCCGCCCGCGTCGCTAGATGGCTCTAGTGTCGCGCCCAGCTGTGGCGCCGCCGCCACCCCCGCGCAGCCGCACGAGCGCGCGCGACTCCATCCCCTCCCCCTGCCGCCGCCACCACCGACGCCTACTCGAGCTCGGACCGTCAGGGGGAGCGCGCGTCACGCACGCCGCAGGCGATCCGCTGACGGTTGGCCGGCCGATGTTACGGTGGCGTGCCTCGGGACGACGAACCGATGATTCGGACATGCAGCGGGAAGGGCAGGAGGGAGAGAGGCAAAGGGTGCTCGAAGGTGCACGCAAGCTGTGGAGGGGAGGATTGGGCACATGGCTACCCATGTGAGAGCAGTAACATGAGAGCAATAACAATAACCCATAACAGCCCTAGATAAGCATATTTGAGCCTAGCCACATGTTCGGTGCATGAAGGAGCGAGATTCGCTTTCGTAATGTTCCAACTCCAATCTCAAGGCCGGAACACACGTCTAAAATACCACATAAACCGCAGAGCAATGTTTTGCGCCGCCGCAGCCGACTTACCGCCGCATCCGAAAGACGCAAGAGTCCTAGCAGCACGACCAAGCAGGGCACCAGCGGCAGGCGGCGCGCCGCCCTGCCCGGAGCAGCCATCCTGTGCACGCTGGCCGTGCTCAGAGCCGTCTCATGCCGCCACGGCGGGCTCACGCCTGTCCAGCCGGCCGCGCGCGCTCCCCGGGTCCCTCCGGCTCTCAACTGTGCGAGCGGCGGCGGCCGCCCTCCGGGCCGCGCGCAGCGGCACCACCCGCGAGCGAGGGGGCGTGGTTTGCGGGGTCACCTCGCCCTGGCGGAGGAGTGACCCCTGCAGGACGCTCCCCCGAACCGCTGCAGTCTAGGGGGACAGTCTTGGATGGCGTGCGTGGAGGGGGCGGCGGCGCAGGGCGGTTTCGGAGGGGAACTATACTCACGTGGGCGGGCCGGCGCGCGCGGCGGCCGGCGCGCCGGCCGGGGACCGCCTCGAGTCCGCAGAACTGGGGCGCGCGTGCCGACGGCGGGACCACCGGGAGCCGCCACTCGCCAGGCAGGAGACGCGCGATCAGCCGGTCGCAGCGTCGCCCCACGCTCGCAGCCGGCCCGGACCGGCATGTGCTAGTGCGGCGAACGGACAGCCCGAACTTCAGCATGGGAGGCGTTCGGTTACCCTCCCTCGCGCTGGGGTAAGTGTCCACCGATGTCAGCTGGCGTGGCAAAGGGGCGGGGCTCCGAGGAGTAGCTAAGGGAATCCGGGAAGATGCGTAGACGAAATTCAGCGATTACGGGTGGAGATTATGTGAAGAGGTGTCCGAAGATACTGATTCGGTTAGCCTGTTATCAGGGAATTTGTTGGCAGGTCTGCACGCCCTAATTTACCGCTCGAATTTTTAACACCGGTACATCCACGCGTTGCGATCTACTGATTATGCTGCAACCTTTAAATGTATCGTAGGGCGTTAAGCACGCCAAATTTATTTTGGGCGCTGCCGTACTAGCCCCCATGCAGCCAGCACACGCATGCAGTCCCCGGTGTCCGCTTTCCGACCCTCTGCCCCTCTGCGAAACATCTGGTCATTTCCAGGCTGGGTGTGTTTTCATAACGCTTCCAGTGGGTGAGCTAGGCTCGCTCTGGGACTGGTGCCAACTCACCGAGCGAGCTCAACCCCATCAGTCGTCCGGCACCGCGCGCTCGCGAATACGCATTTGGTGCAGCACGGTGCGCACGATTCCGGAGTTATTGAACGTCACTCTCGATCACCGCATTCAGAGCAAGGGTTCTGTCCTTGCGGCTTGTTGGGTGCCAACGCAAATGGTCGATGTCTGTAACCAATGTTGGGCCTCTTCAGTTGTTGATGCCTACTGCTCCGACGCAGTATTGGCACCCATATGGCGTGCACTTGTGCAGTAGCTGCCACCGCGCATTTCAACAAGAGACATTTCAACAAGAGGCATTTAAATCCAAGCAGCTCGTCGCGGAGAGAGAGAGAGAGAGAGAGAGAGAGAGAGAGAGAGAGAGAGAGAGAGAGAGATATATATATATATATATATATCCTTTACGCGACGCAAATGGTCGTCGAGTCGCGATTTATTCCTCTCTATCCCGTGATCGGCCCATCGGCCATCCAGACGCTCAGAAAATAAATATCGCCAGGCCAGCTATGAAAAATGATTAACAGAACCCCGCATTGCATAAGCCGAGGCTGCATGGGCAAAGTACTTGCTTTTAGGCTGCAGCAGCCATAGGCACTGCTCAACCATCGTGAAAACCACTGGTACGAGTTCGATTCCCCGCGGCGCCCGCCCTTCCGGGCGTTAGCAGGCATGCACACGGGATCCTCGCAAAGGGTGTCTGACTTCTAATGGCACGTGCAAAAATCTCGTGCTTGGAAAAGCTGCTGAAGACGCTTAAAATGGCTGTCTTTTCCTTCCTTGGATCACTCGATGGTATGCTATGCCAAATGTGAAAAAACTAGGCAGAGACGCTAAGTCAACCACTCTTTCCTTCACCACGTGCCTGTGTGGTCTTTCGAAGCCCTATGGCGTTCTTATGGGGTGTGTCTGTCTCAGGCTTTTTTTAGGTCCTGAGCCCTATTTTTTCACGGAATTTTTGATATTTGCTTTGAGGTTTTGCGGGTGGTTTTGTGAACGAATGAAGGAAATCTGGTGTCATGCGGGCGACACTTTTCATTCCGAGCCCGTGAGGTGCCGTATATATTTTCCAGGTTTGGTCGATATGTTACTTTGCGCAATGCGAGAGAGAGATTGCTTCCATTTGATATAAAACCTTCATAGTTGGTGGGTTTTGATTGCATTAGGGTTCGATTTGATGAATGAATTTGGTTGAATAGTGGGGGCCAAACCTCGTGAGAGCGGAAGGTGGAGTCGGTTTTCATGTTTATGTTTATATAAAACCATGGCGTTAATGTTAAATTTTTCACCTACCAGCAAAACTACCCCTTGGCCTACTCCTACTCCTAAGGAGTAGTCTGCCATCAGCCACCTCTTATTTAAAGACTTCTGTACAGACAAATCGTGTTGTGTTGGTTGTGTAAGAATGAATGTACCGTTTTGGGCATTGTTATACTCGATATGCTAATATGATTATGCAATGTTTTGCTCGTGGTATATGCTTGATGTGATAAGCCACTACTGTCTAAAGTCACTTCTCAGATTGTAAAGGCAACGTTGCACCTTAACAGGATGCTTTGGACTAAGAGAGCCAGGTCGAAGCGCAAAGTCATTCACAATCATCTGCTCACTAATGTCTACCAGGTTTCAGTTATCTTTAAAGGAGGATGTTCGGAGGGATGAAGTTGTGAGAAGGTACATATTAGCTGCTATATCGTGTGATCCCGGCATAGGGTGGGCAAGGCTTGGTTTGACCCATGCACGCCGTGAGTTGCACACGGTGAAAAGGAGAGCAAAGGTGATTGGTTGAAGCGTGACGTCACGCGTGGTGTGATGCAAACGAGTCAATTCGTTTCTTTCGATTTACTGTAGAAACTCTCCGATTTATTGACTTCGTTTGTATTTGTAATATTGTTTGAACCGATCCTGGTAATGGTAAGATATGATCTCAGTCTTTTACGCCGAGTGAGTCGTGCAGGGATCACACTTAAGAGTGGCAAACGAAGGAAGATAATGATGTAAACATTATATAAATCAACTTTAGGGTGACGCTGCCTGCCTGATCTGAACACTCTGAACCACACCGAACTTGGAGTCATGTCCAAACTCACCACGTATTGTGACTCGGTTTTGATTGACACGATCCACTTCTCTAATTAATCGGAATCGGGATCAGACTAACCATTTGCAGACAGGAGGCCTCGAACCAATGCTTAGACTCCAGTCCACCTGAATGCAGCCAGGGCCCGGCTTCAAATGTGAGCTGGAGGGGCAATGGATGGCGGCGACGCACTTGACCACAGAGTCACAGTGAAATGCAAAAGTGCTGACTCAGCCTCGAAGGCCTTCTGAAGGCACTGATACGCTTGCCAAGACACAGACTTAAAACGCTAGTACCCACATCTCATTTGGCCGCTCGTCATGAGAAACCAAGACATCAATACTACTGTAATCGGATAACACACAGACTAAATAAGACATGGCGGACTCACTGTGCATTCGGATGCTACGCAAACCATTAACGCGACCTCATTTCACCATTATTCAGACCTCGACTCTGTTTAGGTTCTTTGTTCCCAAAGCCTTGCCGCCACGCCGCTACGTGGTTATCTCGTGGTCATGCGTTTGCATATTCTTTGGGCTTATGGTGAATATATTTTTAACATGTCTCATGTGTACCATCATACAACACCGTTTTCAAAATCATAGGAAACGGGCACGGGCTCACGATCAGTGCTATTTGTAATACAATCCTGTCCATATATGCTTTGAAACCTTAAGTTCGCACAGGAGTATATACGAGGGCCAGGCCGGTTCTTAATAAACGAAACGTCTCTAAAGCCGAAGTTAAAGGGAATGTTGCACAATTGTATGGTTTTTTTTAGGTGAAATAGCCATGTTAGAGACCATTCGATGCAGTTCACGGTCCGGCACTTCTTAAGACCTAACCCTCTGGTTTCTGTGATCCGCTACACGCCCGCGAAGATGTGCAGACTCTTTAGAAGGGACTATTTCAAGGTCACCCAAGCATCCATGGCGTCATTATAATGCCTTTGAAATTCTGGTATTTCATTAGCCATGCAGCGATCAAGACCAATAAAAATACAATGGTTGACTCGTTCATATCTGGCTTTCGTGAGCACGATTTCCAGATATAACGCCCGTCAATTGGCCGTGAATCAATGTTGTGCAAGTTACGATGACGTAATGTAACCATATCGTATTGAGGAGTATATTTACTAAACAGAGAAGTTGTGTTGTGTAGTGTGATCTTTTCCACTTAGAAGTATACCAATAGTTTTAAGTGAGCTTATTTCATAACACCTGATGCTTACTTGAATATCTCCAAATGCGAAGCATTCCCTTTAAGTTTGCATTTGAAAAATCCCGAACCGATGTTCGTGTTGAGGCTTTATCTGCGCATTGAAATTGGCGGGCGTTCTTTCCCCAGTCACTATTTTCTTAAAAAGTCATCGAGAGACCCTTGTGACGTCCATCAAGCATCCTTTAATCAATTACGCCAGAAATGTCACTGTTGCCTAGATGAAGCAGATGATTAAGTAGAAGCTTTTCATTGCATTTCAAGTTTTGCACTATCTGCCGGCAGGAAGCGCCTTTCAGATATGATCTCATATCATTGGAACGTCCACTTGAACGAACGCTGTCCGAAATGACATCATCGGTGCTGGCGGCGCGTCCTTATGAGTGTCGTCCGTCTGCCCGGCCGCGGAGTCGGCCCATAAATCGTTTACATTGGCTTGGAATGTCCAGACGCCAGTTGCTTATTTAATCGTGGCTGGGGTCGAGGCAAACAAAATATATATCCAAGTGGCTTTGAATAAAGCCAGCCTTAGCCGGAGAGGATGCGAGGACAGCGTGGCTGTCCGATATGCAAACACTGCCCGATTGTTTCCCTTATGACAGCAGAGAATAAATAAACTGACTGAGCACCGGATAACGAATAAAGCGAGCGACTGACTTGCTGAGGATAATATTCACTAGTGGTGCATAAGCCATCCATTGCGCAAGCTCAACTTGATCAAGCTATTTCAACAAGCTCCAGTATGCGTTTAAAAACGGTTTCGAAAGCTGGACACTGTTGAATACGTTGCTGTGGTATGAGCGCTGTAATATGGCGATCCGTTCAACTTCCATGAAAGTTCGGCGACATCCTTGGGAGAAGTGGGATATCGTGTTTACTGTAGCTGCTGACGATGTGGAAAGATGTGAGTTCTGGTGGAGCTTCTTCGCACCGTGCACTATCGTCCAGCTATGTGCCTACTGTTTGGTGACATCTCTCACGTATGCATGTGCCTGCTGCCAGGTGAAGCCTTATGCTCTCGGCTCCTCGCATGAACAGCGTCTGTGCTCATTTGTGGTTTACTGACGGAGAACCGATGCGTTTCAGAGTGTCCGCACTGTTCGCGCTGCTCTGCTCAACAACACTCGCTGACCCGGTAAGAGGCATATCCCTCATTGTGTTTTGTTACATTAATCACCTCCTTTTTGGAGTCCTAAAGATCGGGGGTGAAACGTTTCCAGAATAAAAAGCAAGATTTCGCTTCTGTGCGTGTGGTTCTTTCAACACAACACCCATCACCTTCACCCATATAAAAGTTTGATAATGTTAGGGAAGGAGGTTGAGTCCTCCAGACGTGTAGAACGTTTAAGCACGTAAGATAGCATACTACATGAAAGTGAAATGATGCCGTATTCTATTAATGCGACCTGTAAGCGGATGGCCATGGTGCCAGGCCATTAACTGTGTCTAATTAAAGGCCTGAAATCAATAATCATTACCATGCGGGCACGCTTTGACCGCTTCATTTCACGAAATTGTGTTGCGTCCAGTCTAAGCTTTTTGTGCCGGCTTGGAGTACTTTTCGGAATGCATTCAATATCAAACCGGAGCTGCCAAATTTGATTCAATAGGCAATAATGCTTCAACGCAGCGTGTCCCGTGGTGCGGCGTATGCATATTTTGCATGTCAGTCGCATTACCGACATGCCATTACAATTTGCCACACTTTCCGCGTAGCAGGAAAACCGGTGGCAGTTTATTCGTACTTCGAGCCCGCTCGTCCGGGACGCGACTCTACGCCATCGTTCCCCACTGGATGGCCAAGCCCGCTCATTCGGGACGTGACTGAACGCCATCGTCCCTCACTGGATGGCCGAGTCCGCGGAGGGACGCGACTGTACGCCATCGTCCCCCACTGGATGGCCCAGTCCGCTCATTCGGGACGCGACTGTACGCCGTCGTCCGCCACTGGATGGCCCGGAGCGCGGAAGGCTCTGGCCTGCTGGGGAGGAGACGCATGACATCATCGCCTGCGTGGCCGCAGCGATGCGTGCCGACTCCGACCACCGCTCTGCAAAGCGTCTGCTTTTTTAGAGCCCCTCTGCAATCCCCGCATCCGGAGAGTCCACCCACTGCGCAGACGAGACGTCCAGACGTCGCGCCGTCCTTCGCGCCTCGTTAACGCCGCGTTCTGCACGGGCGCCCGCCTCGCGCGCACCCTGTTTTGACTGAAACCGTCCTGAAGCGAGGGCGAGGACGGCGACGGGCCAGCCCGTCCCCGCGCGCGCTTCCTGGACCTGCCCAGATGTGGGGCGGGGAGGGGAGCGGCCAGACGCCCCGCGGCGTGAGGCAGGGGAGAAGCGGTGGCAAGCGGTGCACCCTCGTCCGTCACCGGGGCACCACAGCCGTCTGTTCGTCACGGCCAATGTGGTCAGGCCATTACTTATGGGCCCGGCCACACATGTCGGGGTCCGTTGAGTGCAGACTAAGGCCGGTTACTCGTCGGAAACAAGAGACACCAACCACGGTGACTTTTCGTGACGAAGTGTCGAAAGTACTGGTTCTGTCGGTTATATTGCTTACTGCGGTTAGATGAGGTATTATTGCCCACAAGTTGCGTGATACGGCTTAAGACGAACAAGGTGACAAAAACATTTGGAGTTGATAGTTGGTATTGCGTGGAGAATATGAAATACAAAGGTAGTGAAGCCAGACAACGTCTGCAGCCCATGTCAGTGTGTCTAATCAATCTGGTATTCGATATCGCGTTCATAACAGTTGATACTGACCGTTTTCCGGGCGATTCAGGCACAACCGCGATCTGAGAGCATTGAAATATGTTAATAATTTTTAGCCGGTGTATTCGCCGAAATCGTGCGGTTGGTCTCACGTTTACGTATGATTTAGTTGCCAAATTCTGGCACCAATTTCTCTATTATTTTTTACTTTTTGTCATTTTCCCGGTACCGTTGACTTTTTTCTCCTCCGCTAATCTTACATAGTCTCGTGCCGATACCACGCCGGCGAGCCGGCATCTGGACCTGGGTTCGACCAGTGCTCTTAAAATTTCCGTCGATCGGAATGTTTTGCCTTTTCCACGTTGTTCAAATGGTATGGTGAAATTGTGCGAATATTACAGACCTGTCCGATCAAATAGCTAGCATTCCAGTGCTTGACAATTTATGCAGTCCATTTTGCCAGGCATTGCGCTGCTTGCCACCGATAACTGTATGCACCTGCTATGAGTGGTTTCAAAGATATTTACTTCTATTGTGAGTGATGGCCGGGCCTGGTCGGACCGCTCAAATTAAAAATCATACCATAGATCAAGCAAAATTAATTCGACACAGCCAAACTTGTAGTCAAATGTGATAATAAAAAAGGAAACACCTTGGAGCTTTTCTTATTTACATCTTGAACGTTTTTCACATCATTGCCACCTTTTGGTGTTCAAGACAACGCATAGTGTTCACTTCAACTCCAAAATACAGATCGTCAAGCTCATTTGGACCTCCCTTGTCATGACATGAGCACTATCCACATCTGTGATTTTTGGAACTGAAACCAACGCACTGGTAAGCGCAGGCATTCATTCCAACGCCTGTCCAGGTTATATCACATCTCTCGGCGACCATCTGGACCCAGCTGCCCCGGTGCGCCCTCGATCCGGACGCGGGAGCTGCGCGCCCCACTGACGCACGTGTCATGACCTGCATCACGACTGCCGCCGCGATAATGAGGCCACGGAAGCGGATGCCAAGTATCGCGGCGTCGGTCGCCGACACGGACGAAACATGGCGCACGCCCGTCCTCGGCGTGGCGCACGTCCGTCATCGGTGTGGTACAATTCCGTCATTGACGCGGCGCACGCCCGTCATTGGCGCGGTGCACGTCCGTCTTCGGCGTGCCGTACGTCCGTCATTGGTGCGGTACAATTCCGTCATTGACGCAGCGCACGTCCGTCATTGGCATGGCGCACGTCCGTCTTCGGCGTGGCGCACGTCCGTCATCGGTGTGGTACAATTCCGTCATTGACGCAGCGCACGTCCGTCATTGGCATGGCGCATGTCCGTCTTCGGCGTGGCGCACGTCCGTCATTGGTGCGGTACAATTCCGTCATTGACGCGGCGCACGCCCGTCATTGGCGCGGTGCACATCCTCCATCGATGTGGCGCACATCTGCCATGGGTGTGGTGCACGCCCGTCATCGATGTGGCGCACGTCCGCCATCGGCGCGACCCAGGTCCACCATCAGTGTGGCGCATGTCCGCCATTGGCGCAGCGCACATCCGTGACCAAAGCAGGCCCGTCGTTGTAGCGGCGCCGGCGCGATCCACGTCACTGCGGATAGTCGCCCGGGTAAGGACGGTCCACTGTCAGCGCTGCTTCTCGCCGTCCCACAGTTTCAGTCTTATGGCTCCACAGTCAGTCTTACAGTCCTGGTATCGCTGTCAGCGTCAGTGTCACAGTCCAGAACCATCCAGAACCGGTAATCCGATGTGGTCTGGAACTGAGCTGATGACGCTACGTCACGGGCCACCGCGGTTTTATAGCACCAAACCTTCTCGTGATCGCACTACCCGCATTGGCGGCCGTGCGCTTTGCCCACACCAGACTGTCATCTTCTCTCTTGCACACTCGATTAATTTCATTCTGTCATTTACGAAATGCATGAGGGACCGCCTGGACCTGACGCCGGCACTGCCACCCTCGTCACCGAAAAACCGCGCCGAGGCTATGAAGGCCGGGACCGCGCGCTTCCTTGCGCATCCTTTCAGTCCGGCCATTCTGCCCCACGTGAGCTTTATCCGTCTCGTGACGTCACGCGGTTGGTCTACAGGGCGTGACCAGCACCTGGCCGTGCTCCTTGAACCGCCGGCCGCCCCTGCACGCGCTCTGTCGACGTGATGAACGAGCCGGCTATTTTGGGAGCGGCGGCTCGTCGTGACGAGGACGACGGCCTTTCATAAGGCGGAAACGGCGGTACGGGGACTGCGGCGCGCTCGGGAGAATCAGACGGCGCGTGTCCTTTAATCTGAGGCCCCGAGACAAGTGTTGTAAAACGGTGCGAGGACGTGACAGGTCACAATTCCAGCGTTTTCCGTTGGACGTCAAGCATGTTGTACGTAGCCAGAATTTTGTTTGGAGGGCAAAATACAAATTTTCTCAGGCCTCCTGCGGATTCAGGCCAAACTCCTGCACAAATCACTCAGTATCTGGGACAAACATGTTGGCTCAAGGAAGGCATGTCCCCTGTGCCCTCCCCCCCCCCCCCTTTACACTTGTCCCTGTTGGGAGTGAACACTTTATGTTCATCCTTCGACCGGAGGTGGTGGACCGGGGAGGGGAGGCCATGGTCTGCCCACTTAAGTTCGACATTGCAACTTTGGTGGTGTATAGAAAGAGAAAACTTAAGAGAACTATCTGGTAATTTTGAGATTTACTTTAAGGTTATTCTATCCCAGCACCACTAAATGTGGTACATTTAACGTTCAGAACGGTGGACAATTTAAGCCCCCTCCTCCCCCCCCCCTCCCGTGTTTGTACATATGTGCGTCCAAGGATGGGCGGGCAGTGCTCACTGTCAGCGGGAAACGCGATATTTGTAATGAATGCTCTCAGCGAGGCTTGGTCAAATGTTTTACTGTTTTGATTTTTGAACCACTTTGAATGGCAAACATTTCAGAAGACGTTGATCACCGCTTGATTTAACTTTTCACCTGGGTTTTATGACGTTGAGTAACTGTACCGGTTAAACTGAACCAACGCTTTTCGTCATTGAGTGAGAACATGAAGTATGTCAAAAGACTAACAAGTAAGCCTTCATTTCAGCGTGAGTGAAATGGGAAAAGCAAAAAGTCAACGGTGACTTTTCCTGTGTCCTCACATCTTGGTCCATTTCACGTTACTACCGCTAAACATGGTGACAATAGCGTGGTTTTGCATTGCTCTTATTGGTCATGTTAGATCCTCGAATAGCAAAATGAAAACATAATTTTGGCCAATGCCGCCAAAACGGGCCCGATATTTCTCTCCTCTATCTGTCCTCTAAGAGAGAGGAGAGAACGAGAGACGGAGAGAGAGAGCATCCCTCTCTCTCTCCTATCATGAGGGCGAAGAAGAGCTCTATCTCGGGCGGATATTCTCTCCTCTCTC